CCCCCTTTCCCGGGTCGCCACGGACCCTCCCCTCCGCTTCTCCCCCCTCCTGGAGAGTGCCGAGTCGGCTTTCCTTCTCCATCCGTAAGCAACAGATAACCAGGGGTCGCTACAAGAATGGGGGAGTGAAATTCCCTGACCCTATCCTACAACTTACGTCTCTGTGAGCAGGTCAAGATAAGCAGTCAGGCTTTTGGGAACACCTCGCCGAGTACCCAAAATGACGCTGCAGGCCGTTTTCCCCAAACACAGCGTTCAATTCCCTGACTTCCCTGACACATTTTGTTCTCCCTGACATTTATTTGCCTGGCAACCCTGACTTGTAGCCCTGATAACGATAGGCGTGGAGCTCAACAGGATTTCTTCAAGAGGACAAACGTTCAAGCCTAACTAAAGTTTTATTCGAAACGAACATGTCAAAATCAACACAAGTACACTGGAAACATCGCGCAAACAACGTAATAAAAAAACAAAACATCAATAGAAGAGAAAGAGAAATGCGGACTGTCTAAAAGTTGAAAAAACTGCATTTTCTGTCCTTCTAGATCCTGTAGCGTTCCCTCCACGAGCCGGCCCGCGCGGCGTCGTCCTCGGTCTTAAACTTCTCGGCCTGACGCAGCATCTCGGCCACCTGGCGCTCCGACATGCGGCCCTCGCTCTGGAACTGGGCGCGCGCCGTCTCGCCCGACAGGCGCTCCTTGGCCGTCACCTTGAGGACGCCGTCCAGGTCGACCTGGAAGGAGGCGTCGATGTCGACGGTGCCCTTCCGGCGCGCGGGGATGGACAGCGTGAGGAAGCCCAGCAGGTGGTTGTCGGCCCAGTTGGCGCGCAGGCCCTGGCACACCTGGTGTGAGGAGAGCGGTTACAAATGAATTTGCCTAAGTACGAGAATAACGTGAACCGCGACTGGTCGAGCACCCCTCACCTTGAACTCGGCCTCCTCCTGGTTGTCCCTCGTCGTCGTGAAGGTCTTGGTCACGGCGGCCGGCAGCGTCGTCCCCCTGGGGATGATGACAGCCATGATGCCGCTGGGGTCCGCGACGCCCAGGCTCAGCGAGGCCACGTCGCGCAGCCGCACGTCCTTGGCGCCCTGCTCGCCCGTCAGCTTGGCCGCCCAGATGGCCGCCCCCTGCGCCACCGCCTCGTCCGGATTCAGAGACTTGACGGGCTCCTTGCCGTTGAAGAAGTCGCGCACCATGGCCTGCACCTTGAGGATGCGGGTCGACCCGCCAACCAGGACCACCTCGTCCACGTCATCCTTCTTGACCTGCAGCAGGAAGGGGCAAAGGAAAGGGTCGTTCATGAAACAGTTTCTTTTTCGGGAGACGGGAGGGAGATCCTGATCCTGCCCACCGACCTTTGCGTCCTTGAGGATGCCGGGCAGCAGTTCGATGGCCTTCTTGAACAGCGGCTGGCACAGCTCCTCGAACAGGCTCCGGGTGATGGTCTTGCGGTAACCCTTCTTAGCCCGGGCGATGTACGCGACCACGTCCGTCTGGGGCTTGGTGCTCAGCTTGCGCTTGGCGATCTCGCAGTCCTGCCGCAGCAGGTGCAACGCCTCCGGGTCGTCGCGCAGGTTGATCTTCATGGTCGCCTTGATGTCCTGTGGGCGGGACAGCGCAGCGGTCACATTGTGGTCACAGACAGGAAAAACACGCGGAAGTAACGCGGGGCAAGCCGCCCGCTGCGCTCATCGCCCACCTTCAGGATGTAGTTGAGCAGGACTCCGTCGAAGTCCTGGCCACCGAGATGCGTGTCGCCGCCGTACGCCAGCAGGCGGAAGTCGTCGCCCTGGCTCATCTTGACGAGGGCGAGGTCGAACGTGCCGCCGCCCAGGTCGAAGATAAGCACCGTGCCCTCCTTGTTCTTGCCGTAGCCGTAGGCCAGGGCTGCCGCGACCGGCTCGTTCAGGAGGCCGATCACCTCCAGCCCAGCCAGCCTGCCTGTGAGAGGATCAGAGAGTTGCTAAAGACTACGGGTCGGTTCTGCATGAACATGCACACACCATACCTCCGCGACGAAGGCGAGAGCGGGGGCATTGGGACAGAGAGATCCACGCAGTACTCACCGGCGGTCTGGGTGGCCTCGCGCTGCGCCTCGCTGAAATAGGCCGGCACCGTGATGACCGCCTTGGAGACGGTCGCCTCCAGGCAGTTGGTCTCGGCAATCGTCTTCATCGCGGCCAGCACCTTTCCCGAGACCACCTCGGGCGCCACCAGCACCGGCATGCCGTCGCGCTCGATTTCGTACTTGGGCGTGCCGCCGTCGTTCCGCACCGTGAACGGCCAGTTGACGAAGTCGCCCTCCGTGTCCACCTCCTCGTACGGGCGGCCGATGAGGCGCTTGGAATCTGTGCACCGGGGGGTAAGGGACTGACTCGCCATTTAGAAATAGGGATTTCAATTTTACGGTATTTTTTATTGGGGGG